AAGAAAAACAAAAGTATGGGTTACCAAACTAGAGACCACGTAAACTATCATGTCAGGTTCATAGGTAAAGAAAAGCACAGGGCCCCTGAGCAGAGAGGAAATGGGAAATATCCTCATGCTGCTGATGGTGTGCTAGTGAATAGAAGCTCCTTCCTGAAAGACGCTTAGGACCCTTGGGGTTGGAGTTTGGCGTGTTGCTGCAGCCCACCATGAACACGTGTGCTCAAACACGGTTCCGGTTCCTTTGCAGTGTGGGCTGAGTCTCCTAGAGCAGAGCTGACCCAGTTACACTGAATAGCTCGTCTGCTTCTTGCACTGACATCTGGATAATAGATATGCTAGTCACTGGGGAATAAGCTGCAGCTGCCAGGCCTGGGAGCAGAGCAGGCTCCTGGCAGCAGTCCCTGCGCTGAGGCTCCGCAGAGCATCCCAAGCGCTCGGCCTTGGCTGCGGACACGAGGAGCTGGCTGCGTCCGCGGCCGTGCGGCTCCGCTCCTCAACTCCTGTGTGCTCCAAACCTGGCCCTGGTGTTTACAGGCTCCGTGTGGTAATCCCTGTCTTCATTTTATCCTGCAGGTGTAATCTTGTTCATGGGACAAATACTCAAACCTTGAATGTGGAATAGACTTTCTTCAAGAAGTCAACAGTCATGTGACACATCCCTGCTCTGTTAAATATTTTGTACACTACTCGCTGACTTCGCTCAAGAACTAGTTTTTAACCACTGGCTAGGTTTTGAAAATGGAGTCGATGTAGTTCTGGCTTTGTGGCAGAAATACAGATTGAAAATTACAATATCTTTTTGAAATGTCTAGAAGTCTTTAAACTACTGAATGGTTACCTATGCTAGCAAACTTTGAGCTTTTCCTGTATCTACTAAGAATTTTATGTATGCCTTTTGTGAGAGGATTTTAACAAAGAATGAAAAATGTTCCTATTAATGCTGGTTTCTTCTTGCGTGTGAAAAGATTAATTTTGTAGATACTGCCTATCAAGATAACTTTTGGTTCTTGAGTATCTTGGTACTTGGATATTCTTGGTAGAGTTAGATTAAAAGTTCTAGTGACTTTTATTTTATATAGTGCATGCATCACAGAGTTTTAACGAATGTGGTGTTAGATACGCATCGCATTGTCCTGTCTTATTGTAATGTAAACTTGTCATTGCTAGTATCCACTTTCTATTGGATTTAAATTTTATATTTGTTTTTGTACAAAGGAATAAATAAATAAAACTGCATTATGAACTATTGGTGTTGTGAACAATAGTGATGTGCTGAAAGATACTTGGGACAGATCCCTGTGAAGGACTCTAGAATATTCTTATATATTAAAAGAATGGCTGTCTCTGGCCTGTTGGCAATTGCCCTTTCTACCTAAATTATTCCTGCTCTGGATGAATGATCCCCAGACTAAATGCAAAGAGCTGGATCTTCAGATATCTGCTCTGTGCAAGCTCTTACTAAAAGAGTGCCAAGACAGACATCTTACATGGTCATTTGTGTGTCTTCAGCTTTGTGCAGGACTTAAGTGAATGCAGACTCTTCAAAGGAGAAGCACTAAATCAGTTAGGTTCATCACAGCTGGTGCTTTGAAAGCATGTTTTGCTGTTCTTGAGGGATTTGGATGAAAAAGCAGGTATCTTATATTATCTCCCTTTCTTAAGGCCAGGTTCATGGAAAGAGGTGGCCAGCTGATGGATGTTCTGTGGGGAGAAATTCCTGCAATGTTTCAAGCTGAGCACTACTTTAAGTAGGTGACTGTTGCAGGTGTCCATGAGTTGGAGGATGAATGAGAATTGGGCATCAGGTAAGAACACAAGACTTGAAGCAAAAAGTTTCTGGCAGAGGCAGTCTAATGTGTGATGGGTCTCTAGTGGTAACCCAGTAAAAAGTTGATATCTTGGAATAGGTAGCTGCAGGTAACATGTATCACAGGCAATAACTCTAAGAATGAGTGTGAGGGATCCTTTTCAAGACAGCTCTGGAGCAAAAGTGCCTGATTGAAGCTGCTGCCTTCTTGATTTCTTGTTTTGCATGGATGGCTTTGCTTTCCCTGTTGTTTTAGGAAGAAGCTTTCTCACTGCTTGTAAGATTTCTTGTGGTTGTTGACTCTGTTACTGCAATGAGGAAGAACAAAGATCTGGCTAGCTGTCATCTTATGGGATGTACTGGCTGCCTATCCCTAAATCCTCACAGAGAAAAATGTTCCTGGCAGTCTCTTGTGGTGGTAATGCATGCCCAGAGCTAGGTCTCCTGCAAAGCTAACTCCAAGGAAAGACTCCCTGGATCTCATTCTTACGTCCTGTCAAGGAGATAATAATGCAGGCAGCAAAACTAGGCTGTCAGTGTGTTCAGCATCAGAGACTTTAATAAGATCAGTCACAGGGAAGTTCTCCAGGTTTGGCTTCAGCTCCTTACATCTTGTGAAGTGTAATACCAAGACAGAGAAAAAGTGAAAGTAATATCAAGACTGGAGCATTGCATAACTTCTAGCAATGCTTGCATTGGCTTGTCTTGAATCTAGCTTGGGTGCAGCTTTTCCTGCTAAAGTACCTGACAAGTGCTGCTTCACAGAAACTTATAGCTAAGGCTTGAGCTGGCCTGCAGAAAGCACTTGCCCAGTGTGTCAGATATACAGCTCCCCCAGAGCAAGAAGACACTGCTGGGGTGCAGGATCCTTCCTGCCTGAGACTGAGGCACAGAAGACTCCTAAGGCATTTCAGAATAGCAGTATTGCTAGTTTGATAGCATCTATACGTAAAAACTTACTAGTTGCTTCTAGTAAATTCTCACTAGCAGTATTGAAGTGAAGGTGTTGGCACTGGAACTGAGCTCCCATAGTGTGTGCATACAGAAGCAGTGTGTTCTGTGCCACAAGCAGGTTCCAAATAGGACTGGGGGCAAAAAAAGAAGTGCAATGGCTTTGAGTTTTCAGTGTACCTTAATGCCGGTTCTCTGTAAACAACCGTCCAGCCCTTCTGTTAGTGCAGAAACAGCTCAACAAACTGAGGTGACTGCCTGAAATACAGAAGTTGCTGTGTGGTGGGTTGGTTTATTTCTCTTCCGCAGCCAAGCTGGGCAATGCAAAGCAGGCAGCCGTGTTCCCCGGAGGGTGGCCAGGGCTACCTGTCAGAGCTGAGCCCCAGACACACTGATGGGGAATGTCACACGTACCCGCCGCTTGTGTGCACCAGGACGCAGCAGCGCGTGGGTGAAATATGTCACAGCTCGGGGGAATGTTTTTCAGCTCTCCCATTCCTGACACTCTCAGACAGTATCTCCTCAGTGCTGGAGAAAGAAAGGTCTAACAAAAGTGACTTTGAATTAGGATGCTGGTGGCATTTGCCTGTCAGCTGGGTAAAGGAGATCTTGGTGAGGGGAATGAGGATAAGAGGTTGGGAAGGGAAGGGGGAGGTTAGATTAGCTGCTGGGAAGCTGGTGGCTTTCACAGCATGAGCCCTCCCCCAGATCCGCACTCCTCCAGAGAGCGCAAAGCTTCAATCCTGGGAGTTGATTCCTATCAAATTTCCAGCCCCACTTGATGGAGTAGCTAGAGTCCAGCTTGCTGTGCTGGGGGGAGCCTGAGCTCACTGTATTCCTGTTAACCCTTCCTGCAACAGCGTTGGCTGGCTTCGAAGGCCGGGGAGGATCTGCACGCAGTCGCTGAGGCTGGCTGTTAAGAGAGGAATATCAAGTCCAGGGTGAGCGCTGTTTTATCTATCACTGCAAACTGCTTCACAGTTGGAGTTTAGGTACTGTGCTTGTCTGGCTGACATAGCCCAGCTCCCGACCTGAGAACAAGCTCCGAGTGAAGTGCAGGCTCGTGTACCCCAAGGGAGCCCTGGGACAGGAGTGTAAGGCTTGGTCTGGAACACAATCAACTCAGCGATGTGTTTGCAGCGTCAGGCAGGAGCGAAGCCTCATGGAAGGAGGGCAGAACTGCAGCCTGGAGCCCAGCTCTGTTCTGGCACCGGCCCACTATACCCATCCGCTTTCCTTAGACCTGCCTTGGTTTCTCCACCGCTACCAGCAGAGCTAACGTGTCCCATGTGAGCTCCCTAGAGATGCGAAACTCGGGGACTGTCAGTAACTAAACAGGATCAGAAGGAAGCACTGGGCAGGGAAGGACGACACAAAATGCTCCCGGCTACAGTTGTTTTGTCCCAGAAACCAAGAAAGAAGTAAGGGGATTGTTTGAAGTTGCTAGATTTTTCTTACAACAGTGAAGAAAGTGGCTATTTTTAAAATAATTACACAGAATTAGTTGTTTGCTAATCTGTTGGCTTTTTCATAGATTCAAAGGCTGCTTAAAACACATGTTATCTATGCTCCCCCCCCAAGAAAATCCGTGGCAGTTGGAACCCGCCTGGGCAGAAC